TCAGAATGTTAGACGAACAGCGTTATTCAACTATTGTATTATAGCGTGTTACAATTTTACGTGTTTTAAATTTAAGAAGCCTTCTATAACGAAAGTGCATAGACAAAATCAACATCACCTACTTCTTACACTTGTTGAATTTGTCAACTATGAAGAAAGCTATCTAATTCTGTAAAAAATAAAGCTAAACTTGGATAATCGCGTTTGTGACTCCTGAGTTGCAGATGTTCATGGGCGGCGATAGTCACTTTCCATCAGGTGACCCGTCTGCTCGTCTGCCCCCTCTTACATAAAACATAATAATTATTAAAAAAAAAATTGCGCCCAAAAAAAACTTAAAGCTTTATTATTTATAAAAATACGGTTTCCACGCTCAGTACCGTGAAATTTTAACACATTATCAACCGTGTGCGACACAAAGGCAAATCTGCCACAGCGCGTGTCTACGAGTATTATGTATCATAACCCATCAATTCGTCATGGAGACTGATGAATGCGGGGCTCTCCGCCGCCGGCTGCGGCGTCGCAACCGCAATGGCACGTAGATAATCGTGCGTTTAATTGTACCCAACGTTTATTTAAAATACGGATACGCTTCTGAATGTTTGGTTACGGTAAATGGTTCAGTTCAGTTGTATTTTTAATGAAAGGAAAATCAAAATCAATACTTCTTCATTAAATTTATTCTCTTTCAACTTAGGACTACTTCTGTTAAATATTGTATAGTATTGAATTGTGGCCAATTTTATATTTTCATTGTTGGGATCGAAGCTTATAATGATTTTAATGGCTTCTCTGATCGATAGAGATTTACGTTGAGATTTTTTAAGGTTTTAGTTACATTAGTTACGACGGGCTTGTTGGTCTAGTGGTAAGTGACGCGTGGTAAGTGACCCTGACTGCTAAGCCGGAGGTCGTGGGTTCGATTTCCATCATGGATAAATATTGTGTGATGAGCAGGACCATTTGTTCTGTGTCTGGGTGTAATTTATCTATAATATGTATGTATTTATAAATATATAAGTATGTTTATCAGCAGTCTGGTTACCATAGCACAGCACAGGCTCTGTCTAGTTTGGGATCAGACGGCTGTGTGAGAGATATGTGAAGTTATTATTATACTCACAAGTTCATAATTATGTTCTGTTAAAATTATTTTTCTCCATAATTCACATACATAGTCTAAAATGTGTTGCTTCTTTGTGAGTGCTCCTCCTACAGATTTAGAGTGCGGGAGGGGAGGAAGGGGTAGTTAATTTAGGCCTCGGGTAACCTTACTCAAAGAAAACCAACGAAAGATTTGCTTAGCACTGCTTTCATGCTATCACTAGGTATCTTTTGGCTAAAAGACTCTAGCCCCGGATCTAAGATTTTTTCGAAGCGTGGCAGAAACCCCGGATCCCTCCTAATGCAGGCGTAGAGTGGCACACCGTGTGGTTTTAGTCGGTCCGATTCGGACACACCACCCCCACACATAAGTTACTTTTAAAAATATATATCGAACTCTAACGATCCTATTCAACGACACAACACTCTATTAGAAGTCCTTTTCACCAACAGTTGTCTCTAAAGTGTTTTTCTAAGTCAGCCGCCATTTCGTGTTCATATTTGCTATACATACACCATATTTGCTATAGACCTTTCCTAAACATGTTTCAACATAAATTTAGTTTCGTATTTACCAAATGGTATAAACGTTTAGTACGAATAAAACAACTTTATGTTTGACTGCAAAACCATTTTGTAGTAAGGCAACGCCCTTTTTTTTGAGGTAGTGAAACTGAAAGTTAAAGAAAACCGACCTCGATATTACAATACAATTATGTTTGCTGTATACAACAAAATTCTATACAACAAAAACATATGGTTTCAAGTATTGTTAGTTAAGAAACATTTGTAATAGCATCGGTAACACTGAATTGAATAGAATTTCCTCCGCTCCGATCGACGTAACTCCAACACCGGCAGAAGCCTCAAGGGAAATGGGCGGCAAACGGTCTAATCTCCAAGTTTACATGACCGAATCTGTGGGCCCGAAGCTAATTTGTAATAAGTACGTAGAAACGTTTTTCCTACGGATCGTATTTGCGGTTTTCCTGAATCCTCCCTCGTAATTACCAATCCCGATTGTTATTCGTACCATAATAATAAATCAGGGCATGTTGTTCTAAAAGTAATCCTATAAAAATATGCCGTTTCGTTTTACGGCGGCATAACTTTATAATGTTGAATTTTCATTTTGGTAACTGACAAAGTTTTCGTTGTCAAACTGTGGCGGTCATTAAACTTTTGAAAAATCGCTCGTGTTGGACCGTGAGCTGCAGCGATCTCTAATAGGATTCGGTAACTCCTGACAATTGATATTTATTAGCACACCCATATTGTTGTTGGTGATAAATGTGCTCCCATTATGGCACTACCTCTACACCTGACATGGAATTTCATTTAAAGAAGCACCGCCCATATTGCTCCGTACCACTTGCTAATTTTGTAAGCGTATGAATCATGTTTATGAGACAGCCACATTTTTGTGTTACGTTGTGCTCTATAAAATTGATTTATTTATTCATCATTTACGCTAATAACTTATTCCCCTACATAATTTTTGCAATATATTGTGACTATAATTCTTCCTGATTACACATATTGCCATATATCGGGCTGTCGTTGAACGCAAAAAACATATTGGAAAATATTTGCAAGAAAACACTTGAGCTTGATAATTGCTCAAGCACTTTATTTATTATGAAACAAGTTACCGTTAAAATAGTAGAGTATTTTGAACTACGTACTTAAACTCACGGATGTATGTTCAAAAGGGGTTGGCAGGGGTCGTATTAAGCACTCACATTTTGCCAACTATACTTCGATCCCACTCACGTAATAGAGGACAAGGATAGTGGTGCCAACCGGTCACTTTGGGAATTAAAGATGAGAAAATTGGGGGTTTATTGAAAGCGAAAGGCAGAAATAGGATATTGCTGACTGGGGAACGTAAGCTATAGAATGGGAACGCCTTAGTCGCATACCTATAACTGGAAACCAAGCTAAGAGAGCCTGTTTTAAAATTCATACTAAAATTATAAATGCGAAAGTGTGTCTGTCTGTCTGTAACTCCTTCACGCTTAAACCGCTGAACCGATTTAGAAGAAATTTGTTATAGTGATAGTTTGCGTCCCGAGAAAGGACAAAGGATAGTTTTTATCCCAGAAATCACCCTTAAAGGGGGTTAAAAGGGGGATGGAAATTTGTATGGAAAATTAATAACCGCTAAACCGATTTAAATGAAATTTGGCGTGTAGAGACTTTGATTCTTGAGGAAAGACTTAGGTTTCTTTTTACCGCGATAACCGACATACACGTGGGCGGAGCCGCGGGCAAAAGCAAGTATAAATTATAATAATATTTTACTATAGATTTTTTTCTATTTTTTTTTTTCAATTTCTGGTTGTTATTCTGGTATAAAGAATTAGAAGGTAGGAAGGTTTTTCTTTGTAGATTGACTTCCTAGTAAGCTAGAAAACCATTACTAATAATCATGAATAAACTGTCCTGTGATATTTTTACTCTTAATCTGTAGTAAAAATATGTGTAAACTTGTCTTTTTAGGGTAACTGTTGGTCTAAACTTTCAACAAATATGTAAAACCTTGGATCCAACTGCTTATAAATATAAATACTCTCAAAACATGTGGTGCGATTCCCGACGACATTCGACTTTTATAAATGAATAATCGCCTCTTTTAACGTAAAGGAAAATATGTGTACCTGATTATTTTCTTATATTAAGGAATTAATAACCAGCTATTATCTTTTAATCTATTCCACATAATAACAGGCTGTTAATAATATGTATATTTTAAAATAGTATTAATATTTTCTGTTTACATCCTGTTTACTAATAAATCCAAAAGTATGTCAAGTAATTGAATGCTGAAGAGTCTTTCAGCCCCGGATCTAGGGGGGGCAAACCGGGGCAACTGCCCCGGGTGGCGGTTTGAAGAGGCGTCAAAATCATAATATAATACGTTTAAAAATTTTAAAAAAATATTATAAATTGTTACCAATCACGAAAAATACCGACCATCAAAATATATTGTGAGTTTTTGTAAGTTATTTACCTCAAACGCTGGAGAGAGGGAGCACTATTATTAAGTTACTGCCACGCTTGGAAAAAATCTTAGATCCGGGGCTAGATTCTTTAAACCAACAGATACCTAGTCATAGCATAAAACCGGTGCTAAGCAAATCTTTCGTTGATTGTCTTTGAGTAAGGTTACCCGAGGCCTAAATTAATTACCCCCCTCCCCCCCCCCCCAGTCTGAATCTGGAGAAGGAGCACTCACAAAGCAGCAACACATTTAAGTCTCTTCGGTGTCCATGAGCAGCGGTAGTGCCGGTTCTCACTTACCATCAGGGACCTGCCTGCTACTTTCCCTCCTAAATCTCACAATAAAAATACTACTAATAACATAGAGTATAAAAGTTTTTACAATATTTTATATAATAATTAGTATAATGTCATTTGGAAAATAACATTATTTCATTTAACAATTACAAATTCAACATTCCATTAGCACGACATAACCTTGCTCGCAAAGAGACCACATTTTCATATCCCCAGAGTGTCGTAAATGGCAACTGAGCGACCATGTAGGCCAAATGGACAAGACCATCCGCTTTACTACACACACATACACACACCATTCACACTAAGATCCTTCGATATTGTTAACACGAAATGGCTCATTTCGTTCATGTATACAGGGATACATATAATTGAAAGTATTGGAATATATTGATTGTGTCGGCAGAATTTAGATAAGAAATGTCTTGTTTTTTTTCCGGACTAGTATTACTTGAACTGTCTTTGTACAGACTTTTAATCCATCTATATATATGCTAAACCTTACCGCTTTATGCAGCCATATTTACATAACTTTTAATTTTATAGCACATATTGTTTTAAAAACTTCCAAATATAAACAAAGTATTACAAACATGGTGTGTTAAAAAGGGCGGCAATATTTTTTTTTGCGTCTTAATATATAAATGTAATAAAACTAAAAAGATTTGTAGACTGAAGAAATTGTATATTTAACGGTTTGTTTGTTCTATGATAATTAAGAGCAAATCAGTGACCATAAACGCGGTCGAAACTGCGGGGAACGGCTTGTGTAAAGATATATTTAAAAGACAAGTAGCGTTTATGTGACATAATTATCAGAAATCTATTATCTAATTAAATCTAACTAAAAAAAAAATCCCTAAATACAGTATTACGATCATGTTGACTTCTTTTTAAATGAAAAGAATGAATACCTATCTAATTATTTCGTCATAATTTTAAATAACATGAAGTGCCAGTGACATTTAATTAACGAGACGTTTTTCATTTTAATAGGGTGACCTACTTTATTTTCTTTATATATATCGTATATGCTATGCTATATTTCGTAGGGACGTGATACGGTATTGACATGCAAAATTTTAATCATAGCTGTGTGAATGCATACGTGATTCTCGCACGTGACGTGTTACTCAGAAAAAGCTTCTTTAGAAAACGATGATTGTTGCCTGAATGATAATTGTCAGTGTTGAAAGGACTGTGACAGTAGGAAAGAAACTTACGGAGGAGTAGTATACTGTTGGTATATGTTTACGTCAATACAACCGTTCCTTTTATTAGGAGGAACTACCCTTCTAAAAACCACAGTTAACCATTAATGTAGTGTTGTATTTCAGTTTATTAGCAACAAATAAATGGCATCACAAGCCTAATAGCGAGTATTTTTAGATACCAGTATTACCAACAGAACTGAAGTCTATTTAAATACCGTTGTTAAAAGAAAGAAAATGTGTTTATTTACGGGGAAATATAATAATTTAAGATAAAAGATTAAAAATAAATTTTAGTTCAGTAAACTGAAAAAATGTAATAAAGAGAGTATAAATTAAACCAGAAGCTAAGATCTGAGTATAATCTTAATTCCTCAAATGACATGCTCTTGCCAATCAAATGATTACATTTTTTTAGATGAAATATAAAAAAATAGTTAATTAACTTACCCAAATGAATAAAAGTTCCGTTTATGGTTATTGTTTTTAAATACTTTTTAAGAAACCAACGGTTTTTAAAAACAACGTTTTCTAATAGCAAAATGCTATGATTATTAATAAACATATCAATCCACAAAACTGATCGCTGCGCTGAACTGATTTTAACCACTTCTGTGTGTATCTACAAACGATACCCGCGTCCTAAAAAAGACCGTCAAAGTAAATTAAAATTTGAGATACACAGATTCCTTTGATCTCGGTATATTTCAATTTCATCGTACATAACATATGTAGGTTTTAAAACTAATATTTAACTTATTGCTTCATTGGTATTGGGCTGGCAAAGCGCGAGTGATGTCAGTCGTGACGTGGGTATTCACTGTCATCCGTAAATGTTTGAACATCGGCTGAGTCGTGTTGTTTGTCAGTTCAGTGCTCGACGCAAAAAAAAATGCAGATACCAAAAGATCTACTAATATTGAACATTTTTGACTGAGAGAGTAAGTAATTCTTAGGGCCAAGTGCGAGTTTATTTTACATCAACTCACTCTCGACAGCGAGCGCGTTCGGCGTTTCGATTGGTTAAGATTTCAGTGGAGGCCAATCGTAGCGCCGAACGCAAGATTTGGAAATAAATTCGAACTTTTTAACACATTGAGGCCGTTCCTCGGCGAGCAGGTCAAGCCATCGGTCCCGGCTGCTATACGAACATTTTTGGCAATCGTTACTGGTAGTTAGAGCTCTAAAAAGCCTGACTCTAAAAACAGTCTTTCTACAGAACTTCTATATCGCCTAGTACTTGGGTTGTGGACGTCTAATGACAGTCAGTCGGTCCAGCCGTATAATAGTACACTTAAAGCAGACCCCAATCTAGTTTGAGAAAAAGGCTCGAATGAAAATTTACAACAGCAGTACTATCGCCGGATACCCCACGCCTCAGACAGTTCTAATTTTGTATTCTCTTTGCAGGAACAATCTCACAAATCATACCGTCCGTTGACGGTGCTGACATTCAGATGGAACTACGCAATCCATGGTCTGCAGCCGGCAGGCTATCACCTCGTCAACCTGTTGCTTCATGCCCTCGTGTCTCTGTTATATTACAGGTAAATTACAAAATAATTATTAAGTAATACAAATTTAAGTAGAAAACCAAAGAAATGGCAGTGCCGTTCTATCATCCATGCTTATCCCGGGAAGAATAAAGCGAAAGTTAGCTATAAAAGTGATTAGCTATAATAATATTATTCGACTTTTGTAAAACGAATATCACACTTAGATGTGATTCAGAATGTAGTAATAGTGTTTCCGGATGCAAGCACTTAAAGTTCCTAAAACATTAACTAACATCAAAAATATATTGTAGCTGCATACTATACTAAAAACTCAATTATAATTAAAGTATAACACGGAACTATGTAAAACTAATTTCATACACAACCGTCGAGATTCCCTCGCTAATTTCTCATAATGTGGCTAGTAAAATTTGTTCGTTCTCGCTCCACTTTTTGTTTTATAGTGCAAGCAAGTCCTAACTTTAGCTTGTACAATTGAAAATCGGTGAAACAGTCTAGCTCTGATCAAGTTAAAACTCCAATGATCCTACCGCTTAAATGGGATTGATTTAAAGAACGTAGGAAAGCCTAATTGGATGAGAAAGTGACTTTTAGCATCAAACACCCAAAGGAAGGGAGGCTATCTAAGTTTGTATATATCAAATTATTTATTTTGATTACTTCGAAAGTTTTGAAAATTCGTTGAAATTTACAGAAATCGCCACACAATTATCGCAAAAATGATTATGCACTAAATAAAGCATATAAAATGCTAAAAACAGTAACAGCATGCAGGTCATCTAAGAAATCATAGTAACAAATGCATATATACATAATATATAGAAACATAAAGACTAATACAAATAGGCATTTTCATGCATGATAAATATATTGAGCGGGAATGAAATTCAAATTCATTCAACCATGAATTCTAGTCGAAATGTTTACCGTCCCGTACATTGGTCGTCAAAGCATGCTTCGAAATAAAATAAAAATGTTATTTTTTCAACTTTTTTCATTAGAAGGTACAAAAAATATCTGTACTTGCACCACGCCTGTGTTATAACAATTTCAAAGAGGACGTGCAGAATTTTCAAATACTTAAATTGAGTCAAATTCTTGAAATTAGAAAACCTGGCACGATTCCCACTTTAAATAAATGCAATCCAGATTAACTGTGAAATGTTGTTTCAGTAGAAGTAAATATCTATCAACGAGATGACAATTAAAGCAATTCTCGCATTAAATCCCACCTTTTATGTAATTATTTGAAGTTCCTTCTTCTGTCTGTTTTCAACCGCGTTCGAGAATGAGCCGGTTCACAATTATCATATAAATCTTCACAATTTTTAAAACAATTTCAATCATTGCTTTTAATTGATCGTTTGTTCTAAAACTTAATTCCATTTAAATTTGAAGAATAATATTTCATCCCTTAGAGAGAAAAATGAAGGTATCTTATTGCCACTATACGAGTATAGCTTTTTACAATTAATATATTACATGATTTAGCCGCATTAAGTCGGTGACACTGTTTTAACTATCAGTCTATTTAAAAGATTTCTTATACATTTGCCAATAAAAATACAGTACGTAATATTGCTATTATTCTTATTTACACTTCAACTGTGTTTCTGTATTCTACCCACAATTTCAACCAATGAATATTTTATTTCGATTTCATCCTATAACTTATTCCTTCGTAACCTACATACAATATCATACATAGATATATCCCGATTTTAACCTATTGCAATTTATCATACTTCGAAGTATATAGTATAAATATTTTTTGATGATTTTTTATTTTTTTAACTGTATTTGGTTTGATCTAAAATACTACATTCTTCGGTATAAAAATTAGCAAAACTTACCAAAACTTTATCCAAATGAGTCTAGCCGTTTTAGCGTGAAGAAGTAACCAACAAACAATCATTCACAAACTTTAATACAAGTACAAAGTATGATTGATATAGAACAAAATTTAACTTATTAGTAAACTTTAGCAGTCGGATACAAATAAATAAAAACAAAAATAGTATCTTTTACTCGTCTGCTTGTCAATCGTTTTTTTTACACACTTTATATTAGCTTCACTTGTATGTTTGTTTGTATGTTTGTAACCGACTTCTTTGGGCGTGATTTTGACTGACTTTAAACGGTCAGAATTCGTTCAAACTTTGTAATGTAGATATATCGAGGACCGATGACAATACTCTAATTTAAAAAAAAAACATAGTTTTAAAAAACTAAAAAACACGCTTTCTAAATAAAAAAGCGTGGGTTGCTTTTTAACCGACTTCAAAAAAAGGAGGAGGTTCTCAATTCGACTGTATTTTTTTTTTTTTTTTTTGTATATTTGTTACGCGATTACTCCGGCAATTATAAACCGATTTGAATAATTCTTTTTTTATTTGGTAGGTCATACGTCAGAGGTGGTCCCATTGTCACCAGGTCAGGATCTGATGATGGGATCCTGGGGAAATCGAGGGAAACCCTCAAATTTTGTAGGCATATACACTGTTTATCAGAAATTATCTTAATCTATGTAGATTTTTGCATCTAATGGTCACCATCTGATGTTGCTGAGCTGATGATGAAGCTGATGATGAATGGTTTAGGAGTATGGGATCTCTGTAACAAAATTATGTAATACCATCGAATTTGAATGTTTTTGAGTCTAATTAATAAGGACTCCGATCCTATGTGATATTCAGGGTCTGATGATGGAGACGGTAAATAGCCATGGGAACTCTGTAATAAAATAAAGCAATTCCGCCGTGTTTGTGCTCATTTGATTCGTCTCGACTAGGAGCTTCATGCTAGTCGATTTTTAACCAACATCAAAAAAGGAGGGTTTTTGATTCGACAGTATGTTTTCTTTTTAACCGACTTCTAAAACACAAAAGAGGAGGTTCTCAATTCGTCTGTATTTTTTTTTTTTTATGTATGTTTGTTACGCGATTTCTCCGTCAATTGTGGACCGATTTTCAAAATTCTTTTTGTAATCGAAAGGGTATGCTCCCGAATTGGTCCCATTACCACCAATTCAGGATCTGATGATGGGATCCTAGAGAAATCGAGGGAAACCCTCACAATTATTGGGAATTTGACAGCCCCGACAACGTGTTTTAGCAACGAGTATTTCTTTAAAACCATGGCAACAGAGACTGCGCGATGTGATGCGCAGAGAACTTGCAGTATTTATGTCACCACAGTAATTTTCGTTGTATTAATAAGAAGAAAAGGTTGAAATTTTGTATTTTATCTTGTTAAAATAATTCGGATAGACGTTTTGTTGCTATGGATGGCATCGCATTTCGTTTGTAAGTAATTTTATACTTAATTTATTAAAATAGTTCTGGAAAAAACTCTTAAATTTTGTGTGGGTCAACTAGGTTAATTTCTAACATACCAGTATTAACCCTTCTAGTTGGAACTCCTATAAAATATTGAGCATATTTGTTGAGTAGTCTCACTAAAGCTTCCCTATCTTCACCTTCGAGGTCAGTGTCAATTGAATCGGAAGTTATTTTGTTCGGTTGCAACTCACAAGAATTTGACTGTTTCTTAGAAAAGAATTTAAGCTGATCTTGATCAGTTTGGACGCCAATGTAGGAGAGGCCTATGTCCAGCAGTAATTTAATATAATATTTAATATAATCTAACAAACTACAGTTTGTTACTATACATTACGGTACGTAGTGTTTTAATATCGTACTTATCTACTCATTACAAACATATCCTACACTAAAAATGGTAAAATAAACCCTTTTAAAAAAAAAGTTGAACCGACTTCAAAAAACACCGACAAAGAGCACTAAAAATTAAAAAATAATTACAAATCTAAGTAAAAAACTATAATAAGTACCCTCAATGTAACAGGTAACATTATAATACCAATAGTCCCTTCTAGTCTGTTTGAAGTCGGTGCCAAGCCAAATAGGTGCTTGATAGAATGTAGCGCGGTAGCGGAATGTAGATAGAATGTAGATCTTTGCCACCACCAGACCTTGCACCTACCGACTATTACTTTTTCCAAAATTTAGACAACTTTTTAGTGGGTAAAAAATTCAATTCTCGAGATGCAGTACAAAATGCCTTCGAAGAGTTTGTTGCCTCCCGTCCAGCAGATTTTTACAAGAAGGGCATCAATAAACTGCCAATGCGTTGGCAAAGATGCGTCGATTGCATGGGTGATTACTTCGAATAACAGAAATAAAAAAGTTTGAAAAAATAAGTACTTTCACTTATTTCATAGGTAAAGACCTAATATTAGTAAATAAATTATCGTCATCTCACCCATGAATTATAGAAACAAACGAATCACGTCCGCTTCACACAAAAGTCGAATAGCAATTGGACACAACGAGTGCGATTGTATCCGTGTCTAGATTTTGAATGTGAACACACATTGTTAACAAAAGCATTCCTAAATGCTTGATTCTTTTTTACTGCCACGTGTACACACACTACACGTGTAGGAGAATATTTAGGTTCGGTTAAACATGCCGCATTAAGGCTCATAAAAGAAATTACCCATAAATGTTTTTTTTATTTTATTATAATCCACAGACTTTATGTCCGTGCCCTTATTAGATTTATTTGTTAGTTACTTTACATTTTCTGTCTTTTTCATATTTTCTTAGCACTAACATTGCATACTTATTTTAGATTAATTATCTAGACTTATAATTAGTAACATGATTAAACTTAATTTTTAGTATAACGTAGTAAATAGAAAAAAAAACAATTGGTACTTATCGCTAACTCGGCATTGTAACTGTGATATTTTCCTAGCATTACATTGTATGCCTATTTAGATTACTTATTTAGATTTATAATTAGTAACATTATTCAGACTTAATTCTAGTATAACATTGTGAATAGAAAAACAATTGGTACTTATCGCTAACACAATATTGTAAATGGAATAATTTTTTACATAGCTCAGGTCTTAATCTAAGTGCAATGTAATGTTAGGAGGTATAATAACAAACAATAAAACATATTTCAACTGTTATGACATATAATTTAATATTGTAGTGATC